TGTCTTGTTGGGGACCCCTGGTACTCAATAGGGAGTTTTCGTAGATCGTTTTCGCCGTCCCGCAAGGCCCTCCGCAACCCGCTACGATAGCGGGAACTCCACAGTCAAGGCTATCGGCGCGCGGGCGCAGTAGCAACTTCGTTGCGGAACGCTTAGCGGAGGGGGCAGCGCGGTCTACGAAAACTCCCTATTAATAAACGCTGTAAGATACCGGGATCATCGTTGTTGGCATGGCGTTGGCCAAACCCGGCGCGGCGACCGCGCTCGCTGGTAGCCGTCGGCCGCGCGGTGGGGCGGGCATCGGATACCCCTTTGAGCACCGGTCCTCAGACGTGAAGGTGCGTAACCCTCCCTCCTTTATTCCCACACCGGACAAAAGCTCACCCGACAGAAGCTCACCAGACAAAAGGTCACCAGTTTTTTCACAGACACAGACAAAATCTCACCTCATTTTTATTTATTTTTTATTTTTTTTTGCTACCAGGGCGAAACACTGGCTGGGATAAAGTGCGGACGCGATGAACATTGCACCATTTTTAGGAGAACTGGTACCCCATCTCATGCAAAGGTGTCGACAGATAAGCCATAACAGGCGGAGAAGCCACGATTTGAGGGAACAAAAATAGGTCACCGAAATTGAGTGGAGCTGCAAGCTTGATTCACTCAAGGTATGCCGAAGCACCCTTGTGCCACGCCGAAGAAACTTTGTGAATCGAAGTTCTTAACCCGAAGAGCGACCGAAGAGGCGAAGTCAGCCTTCGGTGACCTTGCTTTTTCATTGTGCATATGTCACGCTAAACGCGCACATAAAGATTAAGCAGAAAGTCTTCATGACTAATAATTTTTTTTTCTAATCTCAGGTTAATATTTGAAGTGGGTGAATGGTTAAGAAAATTATATTGTTTCCTTCGTTGTGCATCGTAAAAGTATTTAGAATCAAGGATTATCTCAGGGTGATGTGAAAGGGAAACTGAAGCAAAACTGTATTGAGTTGCCAATTTTTAAAAATATTTTGAAGAAACGGGAGTTGGGCCTTTTGGGCAAATACAAGACAGATGACCACTTTAGGAAGCTGTGCGGAATTTTGGATAGGCTGGCGTTGTTTCCACCACAGCTTGTGTTCGAAGGACTATCCTAAATCAGGGAAAAGTCTACCGGTGACATAAGGTGACCTGCTGTGCTACTTGATTGCACGTATGTCAACGGCCCCTTCCGTTATGCTTCTGCTCCTTTCCATTGGACCACGAATATCCGAGGGACATCTGGTTTAGATCCGAACGTCCATGACCCCAACGACCGAAACGGGACGTCCAAGGGACCAACGCGGGACGTGTATTTCAGGTTATAAAGAACGTCCATTTTCTCTGCTCCTGTGGATGTCCTCTAGATGGCCGCTTTGGGATTTGCCCGATAGATCCCGGGCATGATATCCTCTGGACGTCCATTGTAACACAACATAAATCACTTCGATTAGAGGGTCTAGGATAGTGCATTCCAAAAGCCAGAGCAGCACTGAGCAACCGGAAAGGCCCCCAAGTTTAAAAAACTAGCGAAAAGACAGCGAGTGGGCACGCAAGCTGGTGGTAGCTAGCCAATCGTGTCGAATAAAGCCTCTGCGCTCGCAGCATGCAGTCTCAGGTGTTGAAGTTGCCTCCCATGGCTTTACCTTCGGCTTTCAGATTTTCCTACCCTAAACTTATTAATTTAATGGTGATGCGTCCTGTTTTCATCCCGTGTGTTTTTGTTTCGTTTTTGGAGTTATTTGCTGGAGAGGCTGCTAGATCGCCATCGTCATCAATCCTGTTTTTCCGGCTCCTCTGCAGCTAGTGCGCGCGCGAACGTTTTGGCGGGTTTTCCACTTCTGGTTTCGTCGTCTCGAAAATAAGGTGAGTACTTCATTGTATTCATTTAGTCCGATATGTATCCTATTTACGTAAGAAATCGGCTATACCGCCATTGTCTACTGAGGCATGTCGTAGCGTAGTAGCCCGCGTTGACTGTGAGTACTGTGCCACCATGCCTGGATCACGGCCGGCATACGCCTGCGAGAAAGCCTCCCGAGAAAAAAGAAGAACTTTAGCGCTTCTTGAGCATGCCAGCAAGGACATACAGGAGGTCGAGTGCAACCCCAGTGAACGTCGTCTCGAGCAACGTAGCACGCCTGCCGCTGCTGAACATGCCTGCGGATCCTCGCGGGGGATCCGCGGGCATGTTCCGCGGATCCCCCGCGGGCGCACCAGATCAAAGGAGGATCCGCGGGCACCAGGCTAAAGGGGACAGGATAATTTCGATGGTGAAAATAGCAGTGCCACCAGATGCGTCGTAGAAACGATTTGCTGTGGCGATGAAAGGGTTATTCGGTATGGACAATATTATAATGTGGTGTGGTGCAAGAAAGCTGACACTACGGATGCTTGTCCTCTCAGCAACGAACGAGCAGGCACGGAAGAAGCTGGAGCGTAGCCAATACACATCGGAACTAAGCAGCGACTCAGAAAGGCCGCAAGGCAAGAGGATGCGGAGGCCACCGCCCCAGTGGTCGCAGTCTGACGAGGAACCAGTGCGACACAAGCCAACAAAGGCAGCCCCCCGAAAAGTGCCCGCAGTACTGGCAGATTTTCCTCAAGGTGATTTGCTAAAAAATGCATCCTGTCTCGTGTTACATAAGACAGCCCTGAAAGTAAGGACAACTTGCTGCAACCAATGCAGTGTCGAACACTTCTTTCCAAGGCCTTTTCACTCCTGAATCAAAGGAGGAAAGCAGTTCTGCAGGAAGACAAAGTAAGTGAGCTTCCTCATGCTTGGCTCACATGTGGCTCATATCGAGGCATCACGGTGATGCTCAACACTGCAACACTGCTCCTAGCCAGTGGCTTGGCAATAGTAGTCTTTACTATGATTCCTCCTAGAAGTTTTGAAAAAAAAAAAAAAAAGCTTCCTAGAAGCCTGAGAGTGGCGGTCAAGTCCGAGGCTTCAGGAGGTTATTTTTCAAGTTCTTTCTTCCAGCTCCGGTACCCATCATGATTTGTTGACACTCCCACAGGTTTGTCGTGTATGAACCGAAGTTGGTACCTAAACTTCAGTTAAGCTGCCGATTTCTAAATATTTCTGTTCTGCTTTTGGTATCCTTCAGGCTCCAGTGTGCCGGACGACCTGGGAAATTTCGCTCCTGAGATTTGTGTGCAAGGTAAATTCTTAAAAAAAAAAAACAATATGTGCTGCAATTGAGTTTATCCACAAACGAATTTCTAGGGTAGGAAGAAATGTCATAAGGTTTTCTTTGTTAAAATTCAGATATGTACAGGATTGGTTAAAATTCAGATATGTACAGGATTGAGCAATAACATTACCTTCAACTATTTTTGTATGCTGTGCAGGTAGCAGCCACTCGCAAGCGCCCTCAGATTCCTCCGAGAACTGCAGCATTTTAGGCACAGGTAAGCATTTTTGTAATTGTATAGTAATGATGAGATTTATCAAAAATTTAACCCAGGGAAAACTTATGCTATTGCTGTCATTTCATACACAGCGATAGTCCTATTAGGAATCGTAGCTAAATGTTGTGTTCTATTAAACACTGCGGGTCTGTGTTGTCATTACTCGCAAACATGAACAAGCACCGGTGCTGCTAGTCTTGACTTCTTTTTCTACAAAAGCTCTCTCTTTTTACTAAAATATCTATCGCTATATGTACCGGTGTCTAGCTAAGATGAGGAATTTTGCTCATAAAAATGTAATGCACTGTAATCAAGAATTAAGCTGTCTCATACCAAAGGAAGTTTACTGTACACAGGTTACATATTTTCAACCTCCTATTGAACAACCTCAATGAATTACGTTGTTTTATATTTCTTAACAATCTCATGCCTTGTAGCTCAGAAACGAGTTTCCTGGAATTGACTGCTTTTTTCCCTTTCACTTACAGACATAAGGAGCTTGCAGGAATCCAGTTCACCTGTTGAAGGTAGTATTGTTTAATCATCTCCTATTCGCAACTCCAAAGGCTTCAACGTCACCCAGCGGAAAAGACGTGAAGGATAGCAACAGGTTGTTCGTGCCTGTTCAACTGTGCTGCAAAAACTGGCGCAGCATGGCAACTAATACGGGTAACAGAGAAATGGGGATTAAATGTGAACCGTTGGAGCTGCGAATATTAATACAGAAAATTTAATCATATATATGCTTTTTACTTGGGCAGTAAACTTGTTGCACTACAGCCTTGCATCAATCAAACATTAAATTGCATTAGATGAGGCATGCTAGGGGAGATCTCCTCAAGATAACGTCTGGACATGATCATGGCTTGTTGACTAGTTCTGAGACCTTGTGAGATATATTATCAATATCAAGATAAATAATAGTACAACCTTTTTTTTGCATCCCCAGTTGATTGCAGGGAGCATATTGGCAGCGACTAAATTTTGCAAATCCCAGGTGCCAGGAATGTGTATGTTAAAAGACCAAAAATTTTGCTTCCCCTTAAATTTTATGAACTCTTCAATTCACGAACAGTAAGGGCATGCAAATGCTAATAGTCTCTTGGTATCTCTTTTTAGGAGTATCAGAAAGCTGTCTAGAGGACATTTAGTAGTCTTAAATAGCATTTCTAAAGCCTGTGTACTTGTAGGGCTTCAAGCAAGCGAGCTACAGGATCCACAAGGTCAGGGTAAATATTTTTCACATTCTTTCTGGTAAAATTTCATTAAGTTCTAGATTTGGGGTGTAGTGTAAAAAAAAGCAGGACCAAGAAATAAATGACGCTGACATTTGGCAAGCTGATTGTGCTGGCATGTTTGGTTTTGTATGCTGTGCCTCTTTTTTGTATTCCTGTTTTCTTCTGCTTCTTAATTTCTTTTTCTAACCAAAGATCGTTTTTTGATATATCTGGTTGCCATAAAGAGTTACGGATAAGGACAGCAGTGCTTCCAGTGAAAGGGATAACGTGAGCTATCTAAGCCTTCAAAAGTGGTGAAGCCTGAGTGCACAGAAATGTATTGGGCATGGAAGATCACAAGGTTGTGTTTCTAACTATACTCTTTTCTACTTTTTCCCCAAGCAATTAATTTGAAGCGTCATTCAAGATTATATGGACCTCGTCATTTTTGCCCTTTGGATTTGTTGCTCAATTTTTTTAAGTTAAACAATGGAGTAACTATGTAGTTTCATTGCAGGAATTGTGCCATGCCCAATAAAAATGCAAGTGTAAACTATCTCTATCCTCGTGTAAAATATATTTTCAATTGCTTTCCTTTTTCATACAACAAGCATTCAAGCAGCACGTCCTGCGGCTGTTAAACATCATGCGCTTCACGCTGCAGCAGCATGGCGAGATGCTCAACAAGCTCTGCGCAATCCTTCCAGTCCACGCAGTTATTGCACACCCATCCCTCGTCGAACAAGCGTTCAACACACTACTTGACCTCCTGGCCTTTGAGAAAGAGTTGGATGAAGAGAAGGCTCTACGTCTTGTAAGTATTTTACTTTAATACTGCTATACAGCTGTGCGGCTGTTTAAAGGGTAACTTGGCTTAACTTCAGTTTAAGAGAACACTTCAGTTGTCTTTTGCATCATATTGAAAACCACATGACACAATCCCCTGAAAAGTTCATTAGACATTGTACGTAGAGAAATGTTTTGATGGGTATGCAGCTGTTGTTCGGTTTCTATTAAGCAGCTGACCACCCAGTCAAGTGAGGTAAAAATGGGGGCGCTTAATTAAAAGCAAAAGATGCCAGAGCGAAATGATCAGCGATGACGCGCAGTTCTGCAGTGGCTGCTGAAGAAAGAAGCCGGGTGATTCTCGCTAGAGCAGTTCCCATTTCTGCCGCGAGAAAGCGAGCAACGAACTGGAGACGCAAATAGGCAACATGCGGTGCAGTGAAGAGCTCCGTCAGTAGTGCTGTATTTGCGTGGCCAACACTGCACTAGTTGCGTTCGAGACATTTTACCACAAATATTTTTTTTTCACATAATCATGCCTGGGTTATGCCATGCTTTCCTGAATTAAGTTACATTCACTCAAAATATCCCATGCTGTCTATGCAGGTTCATGAGCTCAAGCAACTCGGGGGCAAGACTGCAAGCAAGGCCACGAAGCGGATGCTGACGTATCTGCTAACTGATGAGCTAGCTGCACAGTTCTCGTGGATCGGAAGAAAGGGAAAACTCAACTTTTCAGTTTTAAAGACTGCCACTGCAATTACTGGTAAGCAAGAAACTTGAGAAAGTGACTATTTCGATGTCAAACAAAACTTATCTACAGGTTTACTCTTAGATGTACGACATCACTTTTAAAAAGCTCAAAAATCAAATTTTTTAATATTTGTCCATCTTCCATGTAAATAGTAGCTTACTTATTTTGACAGCAAGAAAAAAGTCACGTTTGTATTGTTTACCAGCTTTCCTGTGAATGTGAAAACATTTTCTGGCTATTTTCATCTCAGACATTGAAGCAATCATTGCTGAATGTTTACCTCCTTTTATGCTACTTACTAGGCCAATGGCAAAAGATGTGGGCCTTTCGAGCCAGTCACAGTGCCTGGGAAGACATTTTCTCTTGAGTTGGACCTTTCTGGGAAACTGAGACAACAAAAATCCCTCGCACTGCTTTTCCCTCACTTAAGTAATTTTGTCTTTTTACCAGGTTAGCATGAAATGGACCTGGTTTATGTCCTACATAATTCTGTACATTGAATCTTTAGATACTTTGCCCATTTTGAATAACTTGTGTGGCCTGTCATTCCTTTGTAAGATGCACATTTTTCAAGCAGAAGCAAGTTAGACACTAGACAGCATAAAATCGGTCTTGTAGTGTATGGCAACGCTGGCTTGTGTTGTGGATGAGCAATGTAGCCAGTGCGGTATGACTATGGTGCCCGGGACGCGTCTCTGACTGGTGAGTGGTAAGAAGTGACAACCGCAAAGCAAGCAGTTCATGCTGTCAATTGTCACCATTCCGGCAGTTGGTGGTGGAAATACCAGAACACCAATGGATGTAAGGATTTCTGCTGTTGCGACGTTTCGAACCGTGTCTGGATAGTTTTTGTCAGCTGACTGTCTGCTGAGCGAACTGCAACAGGCGTTTGCCCTCCTGCTGTGCCACCACCAGGGCGCAACAGGCAACAACACGAAGGTGTATGATGCCACGAGCCGGAAGACGAAAAGCCAAAAATAAAAACTCGATAAGCACACCAGGTGAAGATGCGTTTCAGGCACTGTAGTATGACTGCTAAGCTGTGTTTCTTTAAGTGCACCAAGCAGTAGTTAATTGCACAAGCGCATGCTGGTATGATTCTTACCCTAATTGGAATGGGGACAGCTAAGGACTCGACTCAGGATCCGTGGGTTCTGCCAAGCAAATGTTTGCTCCATGTGCTCTGAGCTGCCTTGCACTAACATGATCGACCACTGATCCCCTTTCTTTTTTCAAGCATTTTTGGGTATAGTGTTTTTAGTGTTATGCACTAATCTGGTTTCAGATGCTGCAAAGAAGTTGCCAGGAGGTAAAGATGCCATCGAGGACACAATCAAGTCTTGGCTTCGGCACGCCCCTGAAAGGGCCAAGGGCCAAAGGTGCAGAGCACCTGAAGCGCACCAAAATGAAGGTACGCTTTTCATGCATGTGTAGCCCTAGGGATTTGAAAATGTTGCTTTTATGAGGCCAGTGCAAAATAAATAAGATACCGTAAAATACTGAGCATCTGCCTACTAAATACTAAGCACCCACTCCCAAATTTTGCAACATCTGAAAAAGAATGCGCAGCACACACTGTGGGTTCGCTATTTTAGCAAAAAGTCCTCATCGAGGTAACTATCCACGCCATAGTCCGCTCTTTGCGCAGCTACGGTCGGGTTCGTCCATTCACTGCCTCTTGGCTCCGGTGGACGAGAGACTGCACCAACACAGTGAGTCCATTTTCGACGTGTCTATTGACTCATATGCCAACACGCTTCGCTCTAGGACAGTGAAAGTCTGGACGCTGGCTCAGTTGCTAGTATCACCCGGTCGGTTTCCCGCGCTGCCGCAATAGACAGATTCACGGGAAGTTGGAAGCCCACAAAGAAAAACCGAGCTCAATAGAGCAAGAGCTTCCGCCGACTAGAGCCTCCGGCCCAAGTTTGGGGCCGGCTTATATAGCCTTTCGGGAAATGGACGCGCCCTGGGGAGGCCGGTAGAAGTTTAGCCCGGAAACGGGACGCATCCACAATCACTCCCAAGGGTGCGCCGGCGGCACTTTCACCTTACGAGGGCGAGGGAGAGCTGTCCCCTTCGGGGAATACGGCCTCGAATCCTCGCATCTGGGAAGCCGTCGCTATGATGGCAACGACCCCCCATGGCCTGCGCGTGGCTAGGGCCTAGATAGGGAAGAGAAACCTAGTGATTTCCACAACACGTAGGAAAAATTGATGACCTAAAGAGCGCCCATTCCCCAATTTTTGCAATTATCTCCTTACTTTGAGTGGGCGCTTGCTCAGAATTTTATGGTAATTCATCATCCCACTGATTACTACAACCATATTGCTTAAATGCAGTTGAAGTTTTTTCAACCCCCTCTGTGGAACAGTAGCTAATGCATCCCATCCCAGCCTGAGCCATTCATTTCCCTGCCAGAGGCTGCGTTTCTTTAGGGCAAAACCCCCGGTGGTTAAACAAATCAGGAGACTGCCACTATGGCATTTCTCAGTGCTGAAATTTGGGCCATAAAACTCCAAATTTGGATTGCTTTGCAGAATCTCATTTGTTAGTGTACCCCAGCTAAACAGACGGGACGGAGGAAAGGAGACAAACAGGCGCTGACTATGGTGCCCGGTACCCCTTCCGTGTGCTGTTTAGCTTAACAATACTTTTTTATTGTTCTCTTGTTTAACCGCTACAAGCCGACAATGTCCTTGATAGCATTAATTTTTTGGCTTTCAGTTGAATAATGTATAGCAGCCACAGTTTCTTGTTTATTGACCTGCCAGTTTTTTCTTTTTTTGTGAGGGTGTATAATGCATACCATATTTTTATTCTTTTTGTGCACCCCTTTCTGGATAACTATTGTACTATATTTGGACCGTACTTTTTTTTGTCTAGAAAATAAAATGTACTCCCCTTTATCTTTGAATTTCTAGAGTCGGATTGAGAGGCCTTGCAGCACTTCCGACGCTGGAACACTGCGATCTAGAGTCGGATTGAGAGGCCTTGCAGCACTTCCGACACTGGACACGGCAACCCAGCCGTGATGATGTCGCCTAATGTACCACTACTCATGCAGGTTTGCACTTGGTGCCTACTCATCGCTTCGGGCCAAACGTCGTCTTCATCGCCTATCGGATATCGCGCTGACATCGCTCATCTGCAGTTGCTACACGTGGCCAACATCTACAGCGCACCCTTCACGGGCACGATGACGTCAGAAGAACTTCAAGAAGCAGCGCCACCACTGCCTATAAAGGAAACGCAAGCGGCTGCGGGCGTCAGTGGACACGGCAACCCAGCCGTGATGATGTCGCCTAATGTACCACTACTCATGCAGGTTTGCACTTGGTGCCTACTCATCGCTTCGGGCCAAACGTCGTCTTCATCGCCTATCGGATATCGCGCTGACATCGCTCATCTGCAGTTGCTACACGTGGCCAACATCTACAGCGCACCCTTCACGGGCACGATGACGTCAGAAGAACTTCAAGAAGCAGCGCCACCACTGCCTATAAAGGAAACGCAAGCGGCTGCGGGCGTCAGTGGACACGGCAACCCAGCCGTGATGATGTCGCCTAATGTACCACTACTCATGCAGGTTGGTGATAGAAAACATGTTTTTCACAGCGATTACCACTGTTTGATTGTGTTGCCGTGTCCACACACAATTGCAGCTTGTGTACGCGATTGTTTCTCTGTAGCAGGCCTGTTGCTCATACTAGCTGGAGATGTGGAGGAAAACCCTGGGCCTATTACGCAAGAAATGTTTAATGATATGATTCGGACACAAAAGGAGATCCTTGCTAAAATTACTGAGGTACAAGTAAAACAGACTTCTTCGGAAGAAAGTATGCTACAAATGCAAAACAGGCTACTTGCGATAGAAAAAAAACTTGAGAGCGTAGGTGAAACTGAGAACAGGCTTGCTAAACTTGAAAACTCTGTTAGTGGCTACGATGTCGAAATAAATACTCTTGTAAAACAAATTGATGACTTAGAAAATCGTTCACGACGAAATAACGTTATCGTAAGGGGAATTAAGGAAGAGTCTTCTGAAAACGAGGATGTACTAATGAGGAAAATCAACAATGAGGTGTTTGACGCTATACTAGGTCAAAAACTGAACTCTATCCAACGTATACATCGACTTGGAAAAAAGATGACTGGTAGAGATCGCCCTGTAATACTTACAGTTGGGGATTTTAAAGAGAAAATGGCTATCATGAAAAACTGTGTCAAACTTAAAGGTACCCAAATTAGCATCAATGAAGACTATTCCAAGAGGGTTGTTGAGCTTCGAAAGAACCTGTGGAATTCAACCGCAGAGGAGAGGAAAAACGGTGCCAAAGTCAATCTAGTCTTTGATAAGCTGTGGCTTAACAATGTTCTGTACGCCTGGAATGAAGTCAGCAATGAGAGATACAAGTGTCGCGTTCCACCGGAAGCAAATAACGAGTGACTAAAACAAAATGATTCAGCATGTTTTAAAATATTAAACATAAACGCCAGAAGTATTGCAAACAAGGTTGACGCGTTCGAAAGCATAATGCTAGAGCACGATCCTGAAGTGGCCGTAATTACCGAGACATGGCTTCATGAAAATATCTTAAACTCCGAAGTTACTCCACCGAATTATTCAATAATAAGAAAAGATAGAGAGGGAAGGGGAGGCGGAGTTGCTATTATGATTAAAAATAACATCAAATTTGAAGTCCTTGAGGAAGTACGGGATGTAGAAGCATTATGGATCAAGACAAAATTGAATAACCGTACAGTTTATATTGGTGGCGTGTACAGAGCCCCGAATTCGCCAGTTGAAATGCTGTTAAAACTAAGGGGCTACATGGATTCCAATTTACGTTACGGAGACAACATTTTGTTACTGGGAGATCTTAATTTACCTGGGATTGACTGGTCATCATATTCTCATGGAACGGCGGAAGTAGCTAGTTGCGATCAATTATTAGAACTTGTATTTTGCTATAACTTATCCCAGGTGGTAACAGATTACACTAGAGTATGTTCAACAACGTCAACAATTTTAGATCTAGTTTTTGTTTCCGAGAGTTTAAAACCATATTTTTCGAAATGTGAAACCGAAGAAGGCCTATCCGATCATAGGATGGTACTCGTCTCATTGAATGTTACCCCAGAAAAATCGCACAGTCATTCAAGAAAGATGTTTTTGGATTTTAGAAGTGCTGATGATGTAAGCGTACTTGATTGCCTTGAACAATCGTTTGATGATTTTATGTTTCTTTACCAATCAGATGCTAGCCCAGACACGTTATGGGACTATTTTTCAAGCATGACGTTACGGTGTATTGAGCGATTTATACCAAAGCGCCCTAAAAAAATCGCGAACAAAAATCCTTGGATTACAAGGGAAATAATCCACGCAAAACGACAACTGAAGCGGAGACGAGCGAGTTCACATGGTACAGGTGTAGAAAAAAAAACTTGCATTCAGCGATTGAGTCGGGAGCTGAGGCGTCTAGTTAGAGAGTCTAAAGAAAGGTTTTATAGTATAACACTTAAAAAATTCCTTAGCGAGGCACCTGAGAAGTTCTGGCGGTACGTCAACCCTTCGGCTAAGTTCCAGCAGCGTGCCTCTGACCCAAAAAATGAAAAGCAGAGCGTTGAAAATTTTAGCACTTTTTTTTCATCCGTTTTCACCAACGATGATGGAAATTTGCCAAGCTTTAGTGATTCTTCCAACAATCCTCCCATCAATAACTTAGATATAAGTGAGCAAGGAGTTTTTAACCTTCTACTTAACATCGACTCAAAAAAGAGCCCAGGTCCAGACGAAATTCCGAATGAATTTTTAAAAAGGTATGCTGAGTGGGTTTCTAAATACCTTACTATCATCTTTAGATTGTCTATGAGTAGCGGTTCTTTTCCCAGCGCTTGGAAAATAGCAAAAATTATTCCCATCCACAAGAGCGGTAGTGTTAATGACGTCTGTAACTTTCGCCCCATTTCCCTTACTAGTACATGCTCAAAGCTCCTTGAACATATCATATCTAAACACCTACTGGCTTACCTTGAAAAATATGACATATTATTTAAATCGCAGCATGGTTTCCGCAGAGGTCTTTCCACGACTACCCAGCTCATAGAAACTGTTCATGATCTCTCTCAAAGGATAAACTGTCGTGGTCAAACTGATGTAATATTCCTAGATTTCGCAAAGGCGTTCGACAAAGTATCTCACCCCAAATTGCTATTGAAAATCAGTGCTGTTTTTAAGAATCCAGCCATCACGAAGTGGTTTCCTCTTATCTTTCATCACGGAAACAGTACGTTAAAGTTGGGGGTAGCAAATCCACTATGTCCCCAGTTGTTTCAGGCGTACCCCAGGGCAGTGTCTTGGGTCCTCTTTTATTTTTGATTTACATTAACGATCTGCGCAATGACATCTCGGTTCCAATCAGACTATTCGC